TCCATCAAAGGATTTTCTCGGGAAACATAATTGTAGTTGATGTTACCCACCCCCTATGATGCAAATCATTTTGCATTCTCTAATCATTCACTTGATTCCAAGTTTTTAATACATTGTCTTGGAGGCGGTGCGTCAATGAATCATTTGGCCTGAACGAAGAATTTGCAACGATTTTAAAATATCCTTCATATTTTCTAGTTTTGTCTGTCTGTCTTTCCAATCTCCCTTCCTTCCTTCATTCTTTCTTCTTCTTTTTCGCGGGATACTCCTTCAGTCTTGATTTAAATTATAGTTAATTTCGTCCTTTTTTAAAATTCATTTTTAAAAATATTTTCCATCTTTTTTTTAGTTCTATCTTTTATTGGGTTTTAGTTTCTATCGTCTGTCTTTCTTTCGTTCTTTCTTTCTTTCTTTCTTTCTTTATTATTCTCTTCCTTCCCCATTTTTCTTGTTTTCTTTCTTCCGCTTTTATTCTTTTTCTCTTTCTTTCCTTTTTTTCTCTTGTCTCTTTCTTACGATTGTTTTATTTCTTTTTCTTTTTGTTCTTCTCTTTCTTCCTGTTTGCTTTCTTGTTCTCAGTATTCACTCTTTTCTTTCTTTTACTTTTCCTTCACTTTTTCTTCCTTGGTCTCTTTCTTCGCTTTTTCTTATCTTTTTACATTCTTCCTTCTTTTCTTTTTTCTTTCTTTCTTTTTTTCTATTCGTTCGTTCTTCCTTTTTGGTCTTTCTTTCTTTTTTATTATTTCTGTTCTTTCCTTCTTTTTTATTCATTTCTTTCTTTCTCAACTTTCATTTTATTTTCATTCGTTTTTCATGCTTTCCTTCTTTTTTCTTCTGTTTTATATTTTCTTTCTTACTTTCTTTCTATTTTCTTTCATTCGCTGTTTTCATTTCTCTCTTTTTCCCTTTTCTTTTCTTTATTTATTTTCTTTCTTCTTTTATCTTTCTTTATATATCTTTTTAGTTACTTTTTCTCTTTCCTTCCCTACTTCTATCCTTTCTTTCTTAGTTCCTTTCTTTTTCTTTCTTTCTCCTTATTTTTATTTCACTTTTTCCTCTTTTTGTTTATTCTTCCTGTCTTCCTTTTATTTTTACTCTTTCTCCCTGTCTTTAATTCATGTACTTTTTTACTGTTTGTTTTCATTTTTTCTTTCGCTGTTTATTTATATTTTAGATTCACATATCATCCGCTTTACACTTCTTCTCGGTCTTTTAAACAGGAGTAGATATTTATCTTTGGTTTTCTATTTAGTATTGAGTTTCTTATTCCTGCTCAGGTCTATTTATCTACTATACATCTAACGTTTGTTCCTTCCTTCGATAATACAACTCCACATAGCAACCCTCTACCTTGAGTAGCTCTTGGACCTTATATTAGATGAACATGAAGATTATTTTTCTTGCATCCTGTCTTAAATTTTTTGCTTCTTTCTTTTTCTTTTCTTTTCTTTTTTCTTTTTAAATCTTTTTCTTTCTTTTCTTTCTGTTCTTTCTTTCTTTCTTTCTTTCTTTCTTTACTTCTTTCTTTCCTTCTTTTATAGCTCTTTTTTACTAATTTCTTTCATTTCTTTCTTTCTTTGCTTTTTTTTCTTTCTTTTCTTAACTTCTTTCTTTTCTTTACTTCATTTCTTTCTTTCTTTTTCTTTACTTTCTTTTTTCTTCATTTCTTTCTTTCTTTCTTTTATTTCTTTCTTTACCTCTTTCATTCTTTTCTTACTTTCCTTCTTTTCTGTCTTTACTTATTTCTTTTCTTCTTTACTTCTTTCTTTTTTCTTTTCCTTCTCTCTTCTCTTCTTTCCTTCTTTCTTTCTTTCTTTCTTTCTTTTCTTCCTTTTCTTAATTCTTTCCTTCTTTTATTTCTTTACTTCTTTCTTTATTTCTTTCCTTCGTTCTTTCTGTCTTTTCTTTCATTTCTTTTTCTTTCTGTCTTTCTTTACTTCTATCATTCTCTCTCTCTCTTTCTTTTCTTTCTTTCTATTCTTTTCTCTCTTTACTTCTTTCTTTTTCTTTCATTCTTTTCTTTTTTCTGTCTTTTCTTTGCATCTTTCTTTTCTTTCTTTACTTCTTTCTTTTTTCTTTACTTATTTCTTTCTTTCTTTCTGTCTTTTATTCTGTCTTTCTTTCTTTTCCTTCTTTTCTTTCTTTCTTTGATGCTTTTCTTTCTTTCTTTGTTTCTTTTGTCTTTCTTTACTTTTTTCTTTCTTTACTTTTCTCTTTCTTCTCTTTTCTTTCTTTCTTTTCTTTCTTTCTTTCTTTCTTTCTATTCTTTTCTTTCTTTCTTTCTTTCTTTCTTTCTTTTATTTCCTTACTTCTTTCTTTCCGTCTTTCTTTCTTCTCTTTTCCTTCTATTCTTTCTCTATTTCTTTTTCATTCTTTCCTTTACTTTTTCTTTCTTTTCTTTACTTTTTTATTCTTTCTTTTCTTTTTACTTCTCTTCTCTTTCTTTTCGTTCTTCACTTCTTTCTTTTCTTTCTTTTCTTTTTCTTCTCTCCCTTTGTTTTTATTTCATTTCTCTCCATTTCGCTATTTGTTTTCTTTCTTTCCTTCCTCCATTCTTTCTTCATATTATTTCTTTTCTACCCTTCGGTTTTTCTTTCCTTTACTTTTTTCTTTTTTAATCCTTTTGTGTATTCTTTCTTTCTATCATTCTCTCTTTCATTATGTCTTCTTTTTTTTTACTTATTACTTTCTTTCCCTCTATCTTTATATCACTTACATTTTCTTTCTCCTTATTCGTTTCCTGTTTTCATTGTTTCTTACATTTACCACATATATACGTATATCTTCTTTTTTTTTTTTTAGTTTATATTTGATTTTATTTATTTTTCTCTTTTTTATGGGGTGGGAGGATATCTTTCTTGTTTTTATTTTCCTTTTTCTTTCTTCTCAAATCTTCTTCATTTCTTCATTAACTATCACCTTCTTTTGTCTTTCTCCTTTTCCATTTTTTAACATCCTTTTACCGATCAATATTTTTCTTCATCTGACGACATTCTCGTCAATCGACACCATCAGTATTTGCCTGTCCACAAACCCACTACTGGATATTTCTTTCCCCTTTAACTAAACACATCTTATAAGGCAGCAAACATCTTAGTCAGCCGGTTTCTCAAAGTCTGCTTCCATTCTCAGACCCCGAATCTTAAATCTCACATCAATAGTCCCGAAATTTGATATATTCATCGAAAATCACCCACCCACATCATTCGAAACCTCCCTAGCCTCCTTAACTAGGCGAAAAGTATTTTGATTCTCCTGGAAACCATTCCTGTCGGCAGTGCAGATATTTATCCCACCTTCTCAAATTCTTCTTCTTCTTCTTCTTCTTCTTCTTCTTCTTCTTCTACTACTACTACTACTACTACTACTAACAATAATAATAATAATAATAATAATATTACTCCGACAGATTTTTCCATACAGCTTCTACACAAAGAGATTGTTGTTGTTGTTGTTGTTGTTGTTGTTGTTCTTCTTCTTCTTCTTCTTCTTCTTCTTATTCTTATTCTTCTACTACTACTACTACTACTACTACTGCTCAACAACAACAATAGTAGTTGTACTACTATTACTATTAATGAAAATAATAATAATACGCTGATAGATTTTTATACACCTTCTACACAAAGTGATTGTGCTATTCGTTCTTCCTTTTCTTCTTCTCTTCTTCTTCTTCCTCTACTACTACTACTACTAGTAGTAATAATAATACTCCGATAGATTTTATAGATCTTCTACACCAAGAGCTTAATGTTGTTGTTGTGTTGTTGTTTTCTTCTTCTTCTTCTTCTTCTTCTTCTTCTTCTTCTTCTTCTTCTTCTTCTTCTTCTTCTTCTTCTTTATTCCTTATTTATTTATTCATTTGCATATTTCCTTCTATTTTTTCTTTCGAACAAAAATTTATCATTCTCTCCATTTTTGTTTCCCAAATTAACTCTCTCTCACTCCCCACTCTCTCTCTCTCTCTCTCTCTCTCTCTCTCTCTCTCTGTGTTTCTAATTTAAACATTTACCTACTCTTTTCTTTCATTCTTTTCTTTCTTTTTCTGTGTCTTTCACTTGCCGTTTATCCTTTTTCCTTTCTCTTTCACCTTCTTCATTTTCCCTTCTCTTTTTATCTTCCATTTTATTCCTTCCCAATCTCTATTGATCATCTATTGATTCCGTTTTTTCCTTTCGTTTTCCTCCCAATTCTATTATTTTCTCTAATTAGAAAATCTTTTTAGAAACTTTTCTTTCATTTTATTTACTTTTAACATTTTCATTTCAATCGTTTCAAACCTTTATGCCTTTTTTATAAAAAAAAAAAACAACAAATCTTGTATCGCAATTTAAATAATGGCTGCTCAATTACGTTATTTTACGTAAAAGAAAGGATATTCACATTAAGGCACACTTTTAAAATATGCCAATTGAAAGGCTCTCCTTCAATATCCGATTTGCACTCTCACAAATTATTATTATTATTATTATTATTATTATTATTATTATTATTATTATCATAATTATTATTATTATTATTATTATTATTATTATTATTATTATTATTATTATAGAAAGTAGTAATGTCATTCGTTGTTGTTGTTGTTGTTGTTGTTGGAGGTAGTGTTGGTGGATTCATGACGACAGGGATGGGGGGTGTCTAGAGAAAACATTTTTCCAGTTTCATCTATTTAGTAAATTTCCATGCCAATCTTTTAAATTCTATTGAAAATTCAATTTTTGTCTATTCCTCTACACAATCGATCATAGTTTTAAAACGGAGGATAGTTTGAGGAAAATTGCGAAAAATTGAATTTGATATTGACTGCTGATTCTTTGCTGAGAAATTTTGATGTTCTTTGTTCATAGGGACAAAGACAAGGTGACCGATTTTAATGTGTCAATAGGTTGGTCAGGTAATGTAGGAAGTTCTTTTAAGGAGAAAACGAATTAATACAAAATATGTGTAAATGTAGACATTGTTTTATGATTTATCATAGACAGATAGATATGAACAAATTAACATAGATAGATAGATAGATAGATAGATAGATAGATAGATAGATATGAACAGACAAAGTGATAGATAGATAGATAGATAGATAGATAGATAGATAGATAGATAGATAGATAGATAGATAGATAGATAATGAACAGACTAAAAGTGATAGATAGATAGATAGATAGATAGATAGATAGATAGATAGATAGATAGATAATGAACAGACTAAAAGTGGTAGATAGATAGATAGATAGATAGATAGATAGATAGATAGATAGATATGAACGAATCAACATAGATAGAAAGAAAGAAAGAAAGGAAAAGAGAGTAACAGTTCCAAAAAGACATATAGATATTAACTGATGAAGATAGATAGAAAGTTTTTTGAATATATAGATAGATAGATAGATAGATAGATATTAACAGATTGAGAAAGATATTAACAGATTAAGATAAATAGATCGATAGATCGATAGATAGATTATCAAATCAAGACTGATAACTGAGACCCAGACTCTGCGTATTGTCTTCTCGTGAAAGACTCTCGCAAAACTGTTCATCCTTTCCTTGATTGATTCGCGTTCGTTTGCAGCAGGATCTCTCCTCCTAACATTTGCTGAATGTCCTCGTCTTTTGTCTGAAGCGATTTTCTTGTTTTGTTGCTCCGTTCTCTTGTCGATAATTGGTCTTTGTTGTCCTGAAAATAAAAGAGACAATGTTTGGGAATATCCCAAGAAAATAAAAAAAAATTCTTTTCGGGATGTGGGTGGGTTGAGAAGAAACGCTTATGTTTAATCAGAAGAAACAGAACATCTGCTCTAAACTCATCAAGCAGTCAATAAGACACACACACACACATTCACACACAAACACGCACATAGATAGAAACTTTTGTTAATAAATAGATAGAAGAAAGAAAGAAAGAAAGAAAGAAAGAAAGAAAGAAAAACAGTTTCAAAGAGACAGATACTAATAGATGGAGATAGATAAAAACTTTTGCAAATAGATAGATAGATAGATAGATAGATAGATAGATAGAGTGGTTAGAATAAAAGACTCAGTTTCGAATCTAACCAAAGTCTATTTATCTGGAAGGAGACTGGAGGATGTGATCCCATCATGCGACACCTTTGAAAAGGGCCTGAAAAACCATACCCCGGGTAGACCCAAAACTTGTCAGTGAAATTAGGTAGACGCAGCTGTCGTTGGTTGAACTAGCAGGAAATCCCAAGTCATCGTGACGGAGCGTTTGAGCGTACTGCCCTGATCAGACTGTTGATCACGGCAAAATAATACTCTCTCTCTCTCTCTCTCTCTTTTTCTCTCTCTCTGAAACTGTAACTAAGGTCTCTCTTTCTGTCTGTTTCTAATTCAAACTTTTACCTTCTCTTTCTTATATATATATATATATATATATATATATATATATATATATATATATATATATATATATACACAATAAACGAGAGAAAAAAAAAAATATATATATATATATATATATATATATATATATATGTTATGGGGTCCACCCCTTTTTCATATAAGTGGACTCTACCAGTGTTACTTGGCGTGCTGCCGTTAAGTACCCAGAGTTAGACAGTAAGTGAGAGAGGATATACGGAGACAGAGAATATATGAAGGGAGATAGTGTGGTAACCTCGTCTAGAAGTCAGTTACAAGCACGTAGACTCGAAGGAAGTCCTACTTCGAGACTGTATATATCTATCTGTATTTGCGACTAACCGCGTTCCTGGACTTACTAACAGTATTACGCTTTGTATGATTGTGTAAATACATTTTATTTCTTATATTTAATTATTGCGTTTGTCATTCCTTGGAGACCGAATTCATCTCGGAATCCACAACAACTTGGCGACGAAGATTCGAACACACGCGGAAAACAAAAAATCAACAAAAGAAAAATATTCCCTCGTCGTCAAACAAGCAAATTGGCTTCGAGTGATTCGAACTCACACGAAAAAAAGAAATAGAAAAATCCTTCCCTCGTCGTCCAACAACAAATTACCGACAAACAATTTCGAGGAGTAAAAATACATAAAATTGAGTTATCATGGAAGATTTTAAAATATTTTGGTAGAACTGATAAAACACCAAAATGAGCAACAATTACAAATGCAGAAATGCCAAAATGATCAACAGTTACAGCTACAAGAAAAATGGCAAAAGCAATTATTACAAACGCAAAAGGAAAATCAAGATAGACAGAGCTCCAGGAACTAATATTGAAAGTAGCGGGCAACAAGCAATTAGATATTGAAAAAGAAGCAACATTTTCGCAAGACGCAGTGTGGAATACCATAGAGATTTTCAAATATTCTCTAGATGAGGACAAAAATTTTGGTGATTAATTCAGAAGACATGAAGACATCTTTAACATAGACTGTCAAAATTGGACAGAAGCAAAAAAGCTACATCTATTGCTTAGACAATTAGGAACTGAAGAATATACAAAGTTTGTGGATTATATCTTGCCAAAAAAGACGAACGAATTAACATTTGACGAAGCAGTGACATGTCTTAAAGAACTCTTCAGCCCCAAAACATCACTCTTCCATAGGAGGTGGAAATGCCTTAACCTGGTAAAGGGTGATAATGAGGATTATTCTACGTTTGCCGCAATCGTAAATAAACATTGTGACGACTTCAAACTAGCGGAATTAACCCTGGACAATTTCAAATGTCTCATCTTTGTCCAAGGGCTAGTTTCTACAAAAGATAGCGAAATGCATAGAAGAATGCTTGCAAAATTACAAAATGAACTGGGTCTAACATTACAGCAATTATCGGAAGATTGCCAGAGATGTTTAAGCATAAAGACGCAAAGGACATTGAAGAATCTCATATACGTAAGTTAAACAAAAGTCTACGTTCTTCAACCTTCCCGGAAAGAAAACTAAAATTTTACGACAATGAAAAAAGATTCTCACCCTCCCCGGAAAGAAAAAGAAAATTTTATGATAAGAGAAAAAGTACAACATACAGGACAAATTATGACGAATATCAAAGCAAATATAAGCCCCTTCCATCAGCATGTTATCGATGTGGAGTATTACATTGGAACAAGGATTGCCGCTTCAGATATAAAAACTATCTTGAATGTGGAAAAAAGGGCCACAAGGCATCCCAATGTAGAAATAGAAAAGATACTAATAGAATAAGAGCTACAAGGATGAATAACGATGACAACACCAATGTAAGGAAATATGTGGAACTGGAAATTTTAAATAAAAAGATTAAATTACAAATGGATTCGGGTTCCGACCTCACGATAATCAACTTACAGACATGAAAAAAATTCAACAGACCTACCATGTTACACACACAAAAAATTGCCAAGTCGGTTACAGGCAAACGAATAAAATTTGAGGGAGAAATAATCGTGAATGTTAAATTTCACGACAAAAAAAAAAAAACTTAAGGTATACGTCATGAAAGATACTGAAAATTTAGTAGGTATCGACTGGATGCAGAAATTCAACGTTTGGGACCTACCTATCAACTCGTTTTGCAAAAAGTTAGAGGATGAACCATCAGAGACTATAAAATTGAAAGAGCAATTATATAATCAATTTCCTGAGGTATTTTCAAGCGGGTTGGGACAATGCAGCAAATTTAAGGCCAAAATAGAATTAAAAGAAAACGTCCAACCAATTTTTAAAAAGAAGCGAAATGTACCGTTCGCTACTATAGAAAAATAAACAAAGAATTGGAGAGACTTGAACAAACTGGGATTCTATCAAAAACAGACTTTAGCGAGTAGTCAGCGCCGGTGGTTTATGTAAAAAAGAAGTCAGGAGAAATTCGCGTGTGCGCAGATTTTTCGGAGGGACTCAACAAGGCAATAAAAGACCACCATTACCCACTACCGAGCCCAGAGGAGATATTTACAAAGCTCAACGGCGGTAAGATATTTTCAAAAATAGATCTTAGTGAGGCTTATCTACAAATCCCAGTACAAGAAGAGAGTACGAAAATCCTTTGCATTAATACGCACAAAGGGTTGTACAAATTCAACAGACTACCATTCGGAATAAAAGTTGCACCTGCAATTTTTCAGCAAACGATGGACACAATGCTCACGGGCCAGAATTTCGCGACCGCTTATCTGGATGATATTCTAATCAAGATCGACAATGTTGAAGATCACACATCACACATAAAAGAAGTTTTTAGAAGACTTCAGGACTTCGGCTTTAAAGTAAAAGGAGAAAAGTGTGATTTTTTTCCTAAATGAAATTAAAAAGTTAGCTCAGATAATAAATGAAAATGGCAGGAAACCGGACCCAGAAAGGGCATCGGCAATTAAAAATATGCCGGAACCAAAAAATATTGCAGAACTGCAAAGTTTCCTGGGCCTAGCTAACTACTATGGTGAATTTGTTGATAATATGCAATAACTGAGGGCTCCACTAAATGGTTTACTAAAAAAGGAGCATAATTGGAATTGGACAGAGGACTGTAAAAAAGCATTCAAGGAAATAATACAAAAATTAACTTCAGAGTTAACATTGACACATTTCGATCCCGAACTCGAAATCATTATTGCAAGTACGTGACGCTGACGTGATCATAGTGAAATGGAACGCTGATCTTGAAAAATTTCAGTTGTCTGTATTGATTAGTCTTACTCTTATGTTCATCGTCTTTTCATGTTGAATTGAATATAGTCTAATGTTAATTATGTTTTATGATTGTCCTGAAGATGGTCTACTAGACCGAAACGTCCGACGTTGATTTTCTATTAACATTAAAACAGCATAATTGTATACTAGGATTTTTGTTTGATTTTCCGTATATTTTCTTCATACAGTCGGATCTATATCCATATATTTGCTTACATACATACATACACACAAACACACACACACACACACACACACACACACACACACACATATATATATATATATATATATATATATATATATATATAATGTGTGGTCTATTCTCAGGGAGTAGACCAGACACAAATGTGCCTGAGCAAGCGAAGGAATTTGCTAGCCCCACTAGCGGACAGGTATGCTCAATTACGATCGGTCAGCCACCATCATATATATATATATATATATAGAGAGAGAGAGAGACAGACAGACAGACAGACAAACAAACAAACAAACAAACAGACAGACAGACAGATTGAAATGTAACTCCCTATTTTATATGTTATCGACTCTCTATGTGATTAGACGTGATAGTCCATCATACATAAAATAAGGAATTACTTTTCAATCACACTTAAATATGTATTAGAGGTCGGCACCCCCGTCCCGCGAACGATTTTTATCCGGTCCACACCTGGACGCAAATTATTTCTGGAGCAGGTGGTAGACATCAGTTGGAATGAATCAACTTACAATGCGACGTGTTTTTAAAATCAAAATGAAATTGCGAATCCATTGCTGACTTGTACGAAACATAAATGCCTCTTGAATGGTATCATTATTTGGAAGTACATATGCTTGTGAACAACTTTTTTCGAAAATGAAATACACTGAAAGTTGTGTTTCGAAAAAGGTTGGGTGATGACCACCTGGATGATGTTTTTCTGTTGCCGACAAATATTTCGCCTGATATGGAGCAGTTATCGAACTATAAGCAGAAACAAGAGTGTCCTTAAATAATTTGCCATTTTTAACTGTATTTCATTTGTAGTAAGGAATTTGCATTTTTTGTTGATTATGTTAGTTGATACCTTGTTATACCTGCAATAAAATAAAGGAACTTGTTTAAATAATATAATATTCACTTCGTTGTTTTTTTTTCTTTAAACCTCCAAACAAAGATAGTCTTCTGGACGAAGCGGTCAGGGATTGAGACAAATTATTATAGTAGATTTGATATCATGGCACTCCTCTAAGACACCGCTTTCTGGCCCTCTCATTCCAAAATGTTGCCGACACTACATAAACTATATATATATATATATATTAAAAAGAAGAGAAGAGAGGTGCCGCAAACGTTTTTGGTTGTAATGCGGATTTATTTAGAAAAAATATTATGCTTTGTTTTATATAATTTTACGACGAGAGTTTCTG